GATGGCCGCACTGTAGCTGATCACGTTGGGCTGAACTTTCATCTCGGTCATGGCCTCAAACAACTCCAAGGCTTGCGGCCATTGCCCACCCTTCTCACAGGCACTGATGGCCGCATTGTAGCTGATCACGCTGGGCTGAACTTTCATCTCGGGCATGGCCTCAAACAAGTTCAATCCTTGCTGCCACATTTTTGCCCTCGCGCAGGTTGATATGCCAACTGTACAATTGGACTCTCTCAGCCTCATGCCGCCATCTTCCATGATGGTCTTCAAAGTAGCATGCAACAGATTCGCTTGCTTTTGCTCGGACAATTTCCTCAAAACCTCCTGAAGGATTGTCTTGGAGCGCCTCACTTCCGGTAGCAATGTCGATTCCAAAAAGTCCTCAAGAGTTCCTTGGTCTGGTCATTGCCCAAACACCAGATATTTACATTGATCCCTTTTCCACCTCCCAATGTGGATAGATTTGCCAGTCTGATGGAGTGTCTTGTCATTGGATCAACAGCAAGTTTCATCAACTTCTTGTGGCATTACATATCACATCTGAGGGTCACACCTTCACCATGGGGAGCTCTCCCATGCAAACATATCATAGCTGCTGTCTGCTTCAACCTCCACAAGTCACTAGCATGGGTATCTTCAACTATTCTGGGGTGGTAACCCCACGGGTACTGTCTGAATTCACCCTACAGATACTTTGGTGATGTATGTAATTTCATGTAGTTTCCAGGAGCTCTGGCATGTTTAGATTCACCCGCCCAAAAAGCACACAGAATTGTTTGAGGTGTCACTCCCTTTTTGGGCATGCCAAGAGGAAAACATCACTCCTTAATTCATGACCTCCAGGTTTCTTTCAGCCTCCGCTTCGCGCAGCTTCTGCACCACTGCATCCGCTCGTTCCGCATCACCGCTACACCTAGTTTAACCCGGACATGCTGACACGGTGAACACATGAACACTTCACCGAGTCCATCTGAGTCCTTAGCAGATTCGACAACTGGAGGGGAGGATCTCTTTGGTGGCTTCCTCTTCCAAAGAGCTTCATATCACATGCCCCGGAGCCGAAAAATCCCATGGCACAGGATGTGAACCACACAGTAAAAGCAGGCTCTGCACGCATTAGCATTCTTCTTTATACAACACCATGGCAGCAAAAGCTCCTTGCCATTGCAGCAAGAGCCTCATCCTTCCAACATCCCCAAGTCGGAAGTGTTACATCATGTGACCTGACCCAACAAGTGATGCGTCGTGTCCTCCCATACCCCTCCAACAAAAATAAAGGAGTGCTGGTAGGAGGAAATAGTGTTCCAAAGTTCAAAAGGGACATACTATCTACTCGCATGGGTTTTCCGATAGAGGGACAAACCTACGGATTGAGCCGTTTGAGAGTCCCACCTCTCTTCTCGTCGAGCTCGTCGCAAACTCCTCCGCCAGATCTCCTTCGACCGTTCTCGCAGGCGAAACCCGCCCAACACGACCAGCAGCCCAGACAAGCATTGCCCTGACCGCAGATGCGAAACGGAGGGCGAGTAGTTGCACTGAAGAGACCAGGATATTGTTCTGATCCTGGCAAACCAACACATAGTTTCGCCAAACATGTGGCTTGAAACCACGTCATCTGCAATGTGCAATCCTTTTTTGTGTTCTATATAATCGTTCGATCTCGCAAAAAAAATGAACAACTCATCAACACAATTCAATAAAAATCACTTACTTCTTCCTCACCAAGTTCCGTCTCAGAGTCTTCGTGCAGCTCAAAGTCGCCACCGCGGGAGCCACGCCGCGCCCGGCCGCGTCCATTTCGCCGCGTCGGACCGCGCCGACTTCCGCGGAGCCAAGGAGCGGTGCTGGTGCCGGGCGGGGTCGGTAGCTGGGGGAGGGGGGTGCTTCGGCCTCGGAATCTGGAAGATGATGGGGGTCCGGGTAGCTGGGGGGTCTGGGTTCAGGTGGTAGCTGGGGAAGATAGAGGTCACTTAACAACAATTGAATAGAGTGGATCCTCAGAAGTTTCGTGTTGATCTCTTCTGTGGAGCCGTTGATCGCACCCTTCTTGCACCTTCAACTGGGCGTTCTTGAGCTGCTTCCCCCTGTATTCGTTGCTACCAAGAGGATATCTATATACTTCAAGCCCATGAACGCCACGCCACGTGTGCTTTGTGAGGGAATTCCACTGCGTCTTGCCACTATGAGTCTAAAACCGCATCAGGGCAGCAAAAAGCAGCCATACTGGGCCATACTTTGCAGAATCAAAGATATCAAAGAGTGCGAAGAGTCACTCTGGACTCTGGACTCTAAACGGGCAACCCATGAGAAGGCTTATATACATGTCTCCCCTACTGAGTGTCGAAACTACCAGGCAGAACGTGGCAATATACCATGTTCGTGGGGAAACCACTACGCCAAGTCGAAGTTTCTCAGCTTAACTCTCAAAAGGCTATGTGTGGTTGATGTTCCAATAACCCTTCGCGTTCGGTTTCGATGTGCTATGTTTTGAAAGCAGATTCCGTGAAGGCTGATGCCCATTTTGGGGTTCAGGTATCGCTTGAGCAACATGTATCTCCAAAACACTCCAAGACCGTCAACTCTGTCAGAGTTCCCAGTAACGTTGGCTAACCATTACAAGCAACCTAGACTCTTGATGAATACAGTAACATTTCCACTCCAAAACATACGTAGAATTCAACAAACTTCTTCATATTGGAGGGGTTGGACATTTCATATACTGGTCCACATTGCAGTGGGGCTCATCACAGCCAGTGTCTTCTTTCAGTTCACCCAGTCACCGGCCAAAACACCCATCGCCTCCGTTCTCCCCCATCGCCTCCGTCGAAGGCTGGTGAGTGGACCGTTCTCGCCCCTGCGCTTGAGACCGCAGCAGGACCGGTGGACCGCACCTGGTGAGCTCCCCACCCAGGTTAGATGGAACTCGATCAATTCAGTTTGATGGCTTGGATCCTGAGAAGCTCACCAGGGGTGCGGATGCTTCTCAAGGTTAGAAGAGGATCAATTCAGTTTTTTAAAGAAGCATGATGGCTTGCTTACAATCACTGATGACCACTCTGAATTGATCCTCTTAGTATCCTCTTACGATACTCTTAGTACTCGAATGACTTCTGAAAGGATCCTCTTGTACTGCAAAAATCCATGATTGCAAGCGTCATAGCTTCCTCATCCTTCTTCGGTTTGTTTCTTCGGCAGGTTTCTTGAGAGGTGCACCCAAGCTCTGCGGGATCAATCACCGGTCCGGGAGTAGCACTGATCCAAAGGATTGGGGTTGAATGGTTCATACAGATTGGATCCCCCAACTGTGTAGAACCAACAAGGGCCCTGCAAACAGCTTAGAAACTCACCAAAAACGCATCTCTCTGGATCATTGGGAACCCAAAATTCTGAGGGGTTCAGAACATATCAGAACTCGATGCAATGGACGAACTCACTTGCGAACTCCGCAAGTCCAGGGCGGCTGCTCGGTGCTTTGCTGGGCGCGACCTGTTGTTCGTTTTTCCCCAAGACTCGACCGGGATCCAACCGCACACCGATTCCCAGCAAAGTCAACATGATTCCCAAACCATCCGTGGGAAATGTAATGTAACATTAGGATAACTATTCCAGTCCCATGGATGGTCTTGCATTGCGATTCCAATCTTTGGGGATTTCTACCCTAGACCCTATCCAAATGCCACGTTTTTCCAGGCCGTCTGTTGAAGGGGGCGTCTAAATCATCTCGGGCCTGGGTTTCCGTCTGTGATATAGAAGTCCCTAGAAGCTCCACTTCGAGTGTGTGACTGTGGCTCATGGCCCCCGGACACCCTGGTCGATCCCGGGTCAAATGAACAGGTTCCTCTATAGGGGGTGTCAACCTACCATGGTTTGGTGAGGTTTTGACTCATTGCCATCTGCGGCGCCACCCGAAGTGCTCCGAACATTCCCGACATCGGGACGCCGACATCGGGACCGTTGAAACAATGGTCGGACTGCTGGAAGGGTCGAACTGGCTGGCTCTTTACCCTCTTTGGCAAAACTAATTCTTTACTACAGAATGGCATAAAACTTCTGGAGAAGGCGTCCCACGATGGGAGAACACTGTATATCATAATATATATATATTATATACAATACAATATTTGGATCCACATGGTCCAGGATGACTCATCCCCAGGTCAAGGTTGACCATCCACATGCAACCAGCGAGTCTGAACATTGGACCACTCACTATAGAGTCTAGAACCTGAAAACAACAAACTATAAATATATATATATACCCTAGAAGTCCAAAGACTATTTTAGGCACCACCCAAGTAAAGGAAGTTCCTTTTCGGATCACCTAAAGACCGTTTTAAAAATGGTCTTGGACTGCCATAGTATATATATATATCACCAGAAAGGGATTGAACCATAAGGAAAATAAACCATCACCTGATCCGCCAAACCGGGCTAAGGGGTGCAACTGCCGTGGCGGCTTTGAAACATCCCGGAGAAGGGCTTCGGTGTGTTCTGTGTGCGCTTCAACGAGACTAGTTTGCCTATAGCTCGCTCCAAATGAGTTCCTGAAGTGATTGGTGATACAATTGGTGACTGAGTCAAAGGTGACTTTCGTATTTGTCTTGCGGCATGTGGATCATGGGCAAAGTGGTCAGCTGCCTTTGGGGCACTTCAAACCTTCAATCACATTTAGCCTTTTCTTCACGATGGCTGGATGAAAATCGTAGTATCTTCGCCCAGTTTCACAATGGAATTGTGGAATACAACTCGGACTCAAAACCCGTCCAAAAGAAGGGGCTGTTTCATCTGGTACACTGGTGACATGCCTGCTGCCAAGGGAACTTATCGATTGAAGCTGGCTCCAGCACTGCGCAGGGCTGGCAAGTCTGCCTTCCTCAAACAAACTCGAATTGCACCTGGGTTCTTGGGCAACAGCCCTGCTTGAAGTCCAAGATCTTGCAAGAGTTCCAAGCTCGCCTGGCGCACATCAGATGACTGCCACTCTTTCCGGGACCTCCCACGCCCAGTAACGATCAGGCATTTAAACTCCTTCTCCTGCTCCAGCTTCGTGGCCATTGCAGTGGAGAGCCAGTGACACAGCACCAGACGAGCAGTTCCCTCTGAGAGGTCATGAAGGTCGATCTTTGAAGCGTCACAGCCCCTTAACTCCTGAAACTCTGGTAACTTGCTTTGCAAAAACAAAGCTCTGCCAAGAGCACTGCTCTGGAATTCTGAGCAATCAAATAAGGCATTGTAAGTTACCAAATCTGGCTGAACTTCTACCTCGGGCATGGCCTCAAACAACTTCAAGGCTTGCGGCCATTGCCCGCCCTTCTCACAGGCACTGATGGCCGCATTGTAGCTGATCACATCGGGCTGAACTTTCATCTCGGGCATGGCCTCAAACAACTTCAAGGCTTGTGGCCATTGCCCGCCCTTCTCACAGGCACTGATGGCCGCACTGCAGCTGATCACATCGGGCTGAACTTTCATCTCGGGCATGGCCTCAAACAACTTCAAGGCTTGTGGCCATTGCCCGCCCTTCTCACAGGCACTGATGGCCGCATTGTAGCTGATCACATCGGGCTGAACTTTCATCTCGGGCATCGCCTCAAACAACTTCAAGGCTTGCAGCCATTGCCCGCCCTTCTCACAGGCACTGATGGCCGCACTGTAGCTGATCACATCGGGCTGAACTTTCATCTCCGTCATGGCCTCAAACAACTCCGAGGCTTGCGGCCATTGCCCGCCCTTCTCACAGGCACTGATGGCCGCACTGTAGCTGATCACATCGGGCTGAACTTTCATCTCGGGCATGGCCTCAAACAACTCCGAGGCTTGCGGCCATTGCTCGCCCTTCTCACAGGCACTGATGGCCGCACTGTAGCTGATCACGTTGGGCTGAACTGTAATCTCGGGCATGGCCACAAACAACTTCAAGGCTTGCAGCCATTGTCCCCTTCCAACAGGCACTGATCGCCGCATTATAGCTGATTTCATTTGGCTGAACTTTCATCTCGGGCATGGCCTCAAACAACTTCAAGGCATGTTGCCATTGCCCGCCCTTCTCACAGGCACTGATGGCCGCACTGTAGCTGATCACGTTGGGCTGAACTTTCATCTCGGGCATGGCCTCAAACAACTTCAAGGCTTGCGGCCATTGCCCGCCCTTCTCACAGGCACTGATGGCCGCACTGCAGCTGATCACATCGGGCTGAACTTTCATCTCGGGCATGGCCTCAAAAAACTTCAAGGCTTGCAGCCATTGTCCGCCTTTCTCACAGGCACTGATGGCCGCATTGTAGCTGAAAACGTTGGGCTGAACTTTCATCTCGGGCATGGCCTCAAACAACTTCAAGGCTTGTGGCCATTGCCCGCCCTTCTCACAGGCACTGATGGCCGCACTGCAGCTGATCACATCGGGCTGAACTTTCATCTCGGGCATGGCCTCGAACAACTTCAAGGCTTGTGGCCATTGCCCGCCCTTCTCACAGGCACTGATGGCGGCATTGTAGCTGATCACATCGGGCTGAACTTTCATCTCGGGCATCGCCTCAAAAAACTTCAAGGCTTGCAGCCATTGTCCGCCTTTCTCACAGGCACTGATGGCCGCATTGTAGCTGATAACGTTTGGCTGAACTTTCATCTCGGGCATGGTCTCAAACAACTTCAAGGCTTGTGGCCATTGCCCGCCCTTCTCACAGGCACTGATGGCCGCACTGTAGCTGATCACGTTGGGCTGAACTTTCATCTCGGGCATGGCCTCAAACAACTTCAAGGCTTGCGGCCATTGCCCGCCCTTCTCACAGGCACTGATGGCCGCACTGCAGCTGATCACGTTGGGCTGAACTTTCATCTCGGTCATGGCCTCAAACAACTCCGAGGCTTGCAGCCATTGCCCGCCCTTCTCACAGGCACTGATGGCCGCACTGTAGCTGAAAACCTTGCTCTGAACTTTTGCTTTGGTCATGACCTCAAACAATTTCAATCCTTGCTGCCACATTTTTGCCCTCGTGCAGTCTGATATGCCAACTGTACAATTGGACTCTCTCAGCCTTATGCCGCCATCTTCCAGGATGGTCTTCAAAGTAGCATACAACAGATTCGCTTGCTTTTGCTCGGACAATTTCCTCAAAACCTCCTGAAGGATTGTCTTGGAGCGCCTCACTTCCGGTAGCAACGTCGATTCCAAAAAGTCCTCAAGAGTTCCTTGGTCTAGCCATTGCCCACACATTTTTTGACTGTATGGGACTGGAATTAATATCTATTTTATCTCGACTTACTTCCATTGACCCCTTTTCAACCACCCCCCAATGTACTATAGGTTAATATGCCAGTCCCATGGAGTGTCTTGTCATTGGATCAACAAGTTTCACCATGTTTTGGTAGCATATGTTACATGTGACATCTATACAAGGGTCACATCTTCCACTGCATTTCTTTCGAGCTCTGACATGACTCCCATGCATTCATGTCCACCTTCTCCGACCTCGACAAGAACATTACATTAGTATCTTCAGCTATGCTGGCGTGGTGACCCGAAGGGTAGTGTTTCAATTAGGGCTAGTTTGGTGACAACTATAGTCATTCCCAGTACAGTAAGTCTGATGTACGGATTCAACCGGATTCAACCCCAAAAGAAACAGAATTGTTGAGGGGTGCGGGGTCACTCCATTTAAATTATTGCCAAAAAGACACAAAAGAAAACACAACTCTACACATCCAAGTTTCTTTCAGTCCCCTCTTCGCACAGCCTCTGCACCAATTCATCCGCTCGTTCAGAATCACTTGAGACCTTTCTGCGGCCTTTGGACCTGAAGATGGATTGAAGACCCGGACCCCATTGACCTCCTTGACCGACCTCCTTTCGTGAACACAGTGAATCCCTTCAGATGTAACAAACTACAGTATGTTTGACAAGTTTTGAGCGACCGTCCTTCCTGTCCCGCACAAAAACACGGTTCATCTCCAAACGCCCTTACGGTAGCCCAAAGCCAATCACTTACGGTAGCCAACGTGGGATGTGAATCACGGAGCACCTCGTCGGCTCACTTGTATTACCCTGCGTATGTACAACACCAATTGCAGCAGCAATTGCACCAATAGTTAACCCATAGAACACCACCAAACTCGAGGTTAAAAAGCATGCTGCAAGGGGCCCAACAAGCGATTCCGTTGCATTCCGGAAATTCCCGACCAACATGAAGGTGGAAAACCATGGAAAGCCCCTTGCTTGTAGAGCAGAGGACAAGTGACAAGCTCCAAAGGTAGCACGCAATCTACTCCAAACCTTTGGGGATGGCAGGACAACGTACTACCCACACACTCTATGTATGGCATATAGCATATACGGATATACGATCATATATCCTACATTGGGGTGGTTTCAGGGGTCAATCTTTGAGAGTCCCACCTCTCTTCTCGAGCTCGTCGCAAACTCCAGGTATCCCGGATCTCCCGCTTTCGAAAGCCCAGCACCAGGAGCCCAGCGAAACGTGGCACCGACCGCAGAGGCGAAGCCGAGGGGGAGTCGTTGAACGGAGGGCGAGACCATCTGCCTCTCCTGAGGATGTTGCTCTGATCAAAACAACAAAACCAACAGAGCTGCAAAATAATAGTATAACGTAACTATATATGATGGTACATGCACACATGGGGTTTGAAACCACGCCATCTGCAATTTCCATGTTTTTCTTTCGATCTTGGGGGAAAGCGTATCAACAAACATCAACCAATCACATCCAATCACTTGACTTCATCACCAAGTTCCGTCTCACAGGCTTCGTACAGCTCTCCGGCACCTGGAACCACCTCGGTGAGGAGCAGCTGATGCCGCTGATGCCGCTGGCCGCGGTGCCCGGCGCTCTTCGGGAGACGTCCATCGCAGCCGGCCGCCGCTGGGTCCAGTCCACCCACCACCCACTCTTGGGTGAAGCTTAGGCCATGAGGTCAACCGGTACCCCGGCGTTGCTTCACCATGCTAAAGGAGTGGCTGAGCTTGAGAATATATAGCTGGCAAAGGAAGTTCAAAACAACTGGCTTTCCACTTTGGAGGTGATGATCTCGTTGTTCTTGCGCCCTTTAACTGATTCCCTGCCTTCTCCTGATACACTAGCAAGTGGTCTTTATAGTTCAAGCCCTTTAGCCACGCCACGACACTGCTTGTACGTGGTGATGGATTGCATGAGTCGAAACCCAAAGCAAATACAAAGAAGCCGCCATACGAGTACGTCACTCCGGACAGTCAATCTTTGGCAACGCGGAAAGCAAAACTCGCCATGCCAACCTTTCAGTGTTCAACTGGGAAGGGTTTTGAAGGTCCGACCCCTGCCAAAAAAAAGGGCCCAAGGAGTCTACATGGCAGTGAGTTGAAGCTTCGACCCTTGCGAATCACGGGCGTTTCTTCCATTTTCTTCCTGCCTGGCGCGAGTTCCGGACCTCGTTCCGCCGCTTGAAACGCCTCGGGCTCCCCGAGGCGCAGCTCGCCGGCGTCGCTCGAGCTCGTCGAGCTCGGGCGGTGCCTCCCTGATTCACTGGTAGCAAGTGCTTTGTGTTCCATGCCTCACTTTCTGAAGCAGGAAAGGGTCTTGTTTTCGAGGCCATGGGACACTTTACTTGCATTGAGGACCTTGGATGAAGGAACAAATGACGAGAGATATCACAATCAATGGGTCTTTGTCTACAACAGGGGTGGTTGTTTGGTGCTCCAAACACCTCCAAACACACCAAGAGTGCTTGGAAGGTCTCCCTCTTCTAAAACAGCCCAATAACAAATCTGTGGAAGCCCTGAAACTGGTGAAACTGTCCTTTCCCGATGTTGGTTCCTCTTGTCCGTACGGTCCGTACAAGTCTTCTGTGCACCAAAGTATAGGCAGCGGCTAACACACCCTTTGACCATTGGGGGCACAAACGTGGATGGTTACTGGATCCCTTTGTTGAGGAACCTTCACTTTGGTGTTTGCTGAAAGAATGGGTATGTCCTACGTGAAGCTCACCAAACAGAGTCCAAACAACCACCCCAAAAAGCGCTTTGGGGGTCTGACCTGGCCTATTTCGTTTGGCTTCAACCAACCAGGTTGGAGAGCAGAGGACTCCCGCCAAAAAAAACCGCTTGTTAAATGAAGGGAAGAACGCCAAGCTGCTCGTACTGCTCGAAGTTGTACATCTCGACCTGCACAGCACGACCAACAGAGAGCCTAATGGACGTCAGTGTTCTTGCAGGAATAGAAGCCCGGTGCATTGAACACTAAAATAGAAGGGGGTTCATAAGATGATAAGGTTTCTTCAATAGAAACCCCGGTGCATTCTATTCCTTTTCAACATTAAAGGCCCGGAAAAATCCGTGACTGCAGTGGATGGCCGACGAAACGAAGAGGTCTTGCGCCGGCTCCTCTTATGCCCAGCAAGAGTATAGGTGATGGCGTTGACTATATGATAAGCAGGGATCAATACTAGAACCAATGCTGAAAGTCTTCGGTTTGTTGCTGGACATCAGACTTCTTCATGGATGTTCCTTTGTCACCTGCAGGATATAAAAACCATTGCAAACTCGACGAAGATCTTCCAAATCAAGCCGAGCAGCAGTGAGTTTCAACTCCACCCAGCGTCCTTTGTGAAACTCCTCGGACTGTGCAAACGCCGCGAACAAAATAAAAAACGCTTGGCGATCATCGTGTGGCATCGCGTGGTTTATCGTGTTTTTCTCGCGGTTCCAGGGGTGGAGGAGCTTCCTTCCAAACCAGACGACCCGTCGGGCCGGGAAGGATCCAAAGGAGCTCCGCGACGGCCTTTCCGACGGGCGACACGGGTGTGTTTTTTTCGACGGAGGCGGCGTGGAGGCAGCGCGTGGAAGACGGAAAAAAGGGCGCAGCCACAAGACCTGGAATTGCGTTTTTGAGTGACTGCGCACTCTGGGGGGAGATGTATATATACTAAGATGTGTCATAGATTGAAGCAATCTGAATATAGATGACCTGGTAGATCAGCTGATTAAAAACAAAAAGAAAGACCCTTCATGAAAAGTCTATCCTCTGCCTCTGAAAGCTTCAGCAAGGTGTCCGAATACGACAGCTGCTCACCGTACCCGGACAGTTTTCACCATTCGACCAAATGACTACTGGCTGGGTCCATTCAGAGGCAGGTCCAGTTCGTAGTCCAAGAAAAAGAACACACTATTAGATTTATTAGATCTATTTAGATCATATTGTTTTGTGCTGACATGGAAACTAACATGCTTGAACCAACCTGTCCATCATTGTCCATTTATTTACTTTGGGGCCACCAACTGTAGCTGCACAGCCACACTCCCCACGCCGGGCCACCACGTCCGACACACTGGACACGTCGTGCGCTTCACCTCTGCAGGGGTGGATTGAAGGGAATAATTTGGATGTAATTAATGTAGACTCTTGATTTCATAACCCCCTAGGTATGAAGAGGATTTCCAATTTATATTTGACACAGGCTGGAATGCCTGAGTGTTTGACCCTGATTTGGTGGATGTCCACCAGGACACCAACGGAAAACCACACGAGCACCGCCACAAAGCGCCATTTTGCCAAAGCTTCTCTCCACTGGCTGAAGCTGCCGCGGGCCGCCTGGCTGAAGCGATGAAACATGGTCGACGTGGTCCAAACACCGAAATGAACAGGATGAAGGCAACATCCAGTCGAACAACATGTTTGCAAACGGGAGTGGACCGTTGTCACTCCTTGTCCGTGGTGAATGGAAACCATGAAAAGTCGCCCGGTTCTTGATCTTGGGTGATTTTTTTACCTACAGTAACAGTACCCTAAGGGTCCATGACCATCCTGAGGACGTCCTTTGGCCCCAGTTCGACCATCCTCAGGAAGTACTTTCACCTCCAAGACCATCATCCTCAGGAGGTACCTGGACCGTATGGGGTAGTGACTCAATATATCTCAATATTATAGGCACTCATATCCATGCCGTTCACGTCCTTACACACGCTATAATACGCTTCTGGTGCACAGAGTAGGTCACCTCGTTTGGGCCGAAAGCAAACATGAAAATCCTAACCATGCAAGACATCTCACAACTCACAAGCACAGAGCGGTTTGCGGGACCCCAAAAAGGTGCTAAATTCCCCGGCCAAACGGACCACGACCCTGAGAATGGACCCCGTGGTTTCGACCGACCCATCGTCCGAAGGTCGCCCATCCGACGGTGGGATCCACTGCCACCCTCTGAGGTACCGGTGAGGACGGAGACACTGGTGCCAGGAGTCGTATCTTCGGTTCGGTACGACTGGATCCCAGTAGGGCCCACCTGAGCTGCACGGGGAGTACCGAAGAAAAGAAAAGAAAGAACAGGTTTGCTTCCTTGCTTCGTCTCTATGCCGCCTTTCTCGCCAAAACGTGTGGCGCACCTTCTGGCACGCGACGCCGCGATCCTCACCTCGACACTCGAGTGTGGTTGAGTGGGCGAAAGGATCAGGGTAGTTATGGTCGACCCTCCAATCCAAGTCACACATGGATTGAGTAAGGGTCTCCCTAAACCTCCGAGTACCTTCTGAAAAAAGGTGGGACTGGGGTGGGTGCCAGGGAGGGTCCAGTCATACCTTCTGAGGAGGTACGACTGCTGAAGAGTTTCGAATGGTCTGGAGACCGGTCCTCTGTGGGTGGGTTCTGGGGTGGATGTGAGCAGGAACCCGTGGTCCTGAGTGGTCCAAAACACATCATCATGCCTTAGGTGTTGCAGTGAAGAAATCTACAGGTAGCCTCTAGTGGACTATAACTCCTAGAAATCTAGCATCGTATTCGATGTGAACAATTAGACGCCTGAGGATGAGGGCACGGTGTGCGCAGCAAACACACAAGAAACATAGAACACTCAGCATGCTGAGAGCTGCACATGCTAGCTTACAAGAAGGTTGGTTTCCGCGAAAGGGGCGTTCCACCGCTAGTTGATTATATGGGATCCTTCCCTTTAGGATGATGATACGTCCCAAATGTGTCCCACCCAAACCAAACGCATCATCTTTCATGCGTCAAATGCTCGCGGATCGACCGATCCCTCAACAGGTGTGCATGCGAAGCATTGCAAAGCCGTCGAAGGCAGAACCCCCCGCCGTAGGGCCCTCGTACCAAACTCTGGAACTCCCACAGTCAGGTCACTTGAGGCCATCGACTACAAAGCAGCATGGTGTGAAAGCGCTTGGCTGGGATTGTATAGAGTCCAGAGTCTAGGACGCAAAACAAAAGAAAAACAGTTAACATGTATACAAACCAGGACCCGACACCGTGGGGGTGCCCTGTCTGGAAGCCGTGTGGTGGGGGGGTAGTGTGGGGGATCCGTCCAGCCAGGACACCCCCGACGTTGAACGATGGACGGAACCAGATCTCTCACGCCTCGGCGTGCTGCTCGTAGCAAGTCGTCTTCACCTGGGCCGCAAATCAGGGGCGATCAGCTTCTGGCAAACAGAACTGCTGCGGTGGTTGATAGGTCAGAAAGGTGCCAACTCATTTCAGCTTCATCTCCAATGTCATCAGATCTACCTCCACCAAAAGGAAACTGTCAAATGCAATACAAATCATACAAAAAGATTACAAAATCCACCAAGGTGTTCAAACCCGAACTGTTTGGTTGGCTAAAAGGTAAAAACCATGGACCCGCACAGTTTGTATGGATGTTTACGTATTCCACCAACCAAGTTTGGATGGTCTCCTATACCTGACGGGACGAAGTCATCAGGTTTGGAGACGAGCTCGGCTCTCCGTCCGAGTCCAAGGGCGTCCAAGGGCACGTGCAGGGCACTCCCTGGCTGAAAAACCACTTGGATTGGCTTGTTTCGGAACCAAATGATATACTGTAGAGATCCAGGACAAGTAAATCACCTTAAAGGTGATTGAACCAGGTTAGG